CTATCTGTGTGTGTGTCTGTGTGTGTGTGGGGGGCACTACAGCATGTTTGTGATGGTTAGAGGACAATTTGAGGAAGCCGTTGTGGGTCCCGGGGATTGACAGGCTAGGCAGCAGAGGTGCCTTTAGCTGATGAGCTATCTCTCCAGACCATATTTTAACCATTTTAAAGTATACAATTCAGTGACATTCGGCACATTCCTAAGTAGTATGTTACTGGAATTCAGAGAGACTGTACTGACTCAGGAGGTGACTGTGGCCCATACTGACGCCTGAACAATGTCTTTCTACATGTGAACCCTTGTGAACTCAGTCTGCACTGACTGGTTTCCCCTGAGCATGTTTTGAAGTTTTTATTATTTTTTATTTATTTATTTTTATTTTTTTGGTTTTTCGAGACAGGGTTTCTCTGTGTAGCCCTGGCTGTCCTGGAACTCACTCTGTAGACCAGGCTGGCCTCGAACTCAGAAATCTGCCTGTCTCTGCCTCCCAAGTGCTGGGATCAAAGGTGTGTGCCACCACCGTCCGGCTTGAAGTTTTTAGTACATAAGTCTCACCTCTTTGGCTAATTGATTACTACATAATTCAGTCTTTTAAATGCTTCTGTGAACAAATCCTTTTCAGATCATTATTGGAGATACATAGAAACAACCAATTTGTGTGTGTGTGTGTATGTGTGTGTGTGTGTGTGTGCGCGAGGACTGACCTTGACGTCAGCAACATTTTGGAATTTGTCAGTCCTGGGAACTTTCTTGTGGCTTCTTTGGTGTTATATGTGAAGTTTTCCTTCCTCTTCTCCAAATTGAATGTCTTTTATGTTTCTCCTGTCTACTTACTTCAGCTGTATCTTCCTGTGCTACGCTGATCAGTGATGGAGAACGGGTCTCCTGCCTCCTTCCTGATAGCTCAGCTCGGCTCAGCCTTTTAGCATCGCCACCTGCATACTCCTCATAACCCTCCAAGGACCCTCCCAGTCTTCTCCTAATCGTCGTTTAATCACAAAAGAATAATCAATATCTTTTATAAACCCGTAATTTTCCATACGGTGACCATGATTCCTCACCCCATATGCTCTACCGCCGTTACATCGAATTCCTTAGGTAGCACTAACTGTCCTTGCACTGTCTGTCTGCCCGCCCATGCAGTCTGGACATTCTAAGTGTGCAGAGGAAGCTCATCCATTTGCATTTTCTTGGTGACTTTTAACAGCATCTTTTCATGTGCTCATTGGCTATTCATACATTCTCTCTTGTGAAGCCCTTCAAAGTTGTCATAATTCTATTTTTTTTTACATAAAATTACAAGGTCAAATTCATTGCAATTACAAATTCATTGTGAGATCCTGGCTGCCAAACCTAACAACCTGAGTTTGATCTCCAGGACCTACATGGTGGACGGAAAGAACTGAATTTTAAAGACTGTCCCTAGCCTCCACACACACACACTGGCAGGGACCCACTTCCTACCCCCCACGCACTGATAGGGACCCACTGCCTACCCCCCCGACACACAAACACTGGCAGGGACCCACTTCCTACCCTCCCCCACACTGGCAGGGACCCACTTCCTACCCCCCCCCACACACACACTGGCAGGGACCCACTTCCTACCCCCCCACACACACACACTGGCAGGGACCTACTGCCTACCCCTACACACTGGCAGGGACCCACTGCCTAACCCCCACACACTGGCAGGGACCCACTGCCTAACCCCCACACACTGGCAGGGACCCACTGCCTACCCTCCTACCCACCCCCCTCCACACACACACACACTGGCAGGGATCCACTGCACACCACACACAACTTTAAAAAAAACATTGTGACTATTGTCTTCCACTTGAGTACTTGCCTCTAACTTTCCTAACATTACATGAAAAGCACATTTAAAAAAAAAAGCCTAATTATGACTTTCTCTTTTACAGTTCTTACACTGTGCTCTAAGAAATATCTTTTTATGCGAAAGTTACCAAACTAATCCTGGTTTCTTCTAGTGACCCTGTAGTTTTATGTTTTAGATTTGAAGCCTATTCACCTCAGATTTGTTTATGCTAATTTGTTTTGCAACTAGACATGCAATTTTGACAGCATTATTTGTTGAAAGGGCCGGGCCCCTTTGTAGATCACTTGAATGTGCACATGTGGCCTTTAGGTCTTCCTGGACAGCTTGACTATTGTAGAACAAAGCCTGAAAACAGGCAAAGGGCCTCCAACTCTGTCCTAACAATTTCACCAATCGTCTTCTAGGTCAGCTGTATCTCAAGCATTTTAAACTGTCAACTTCTAAAAACTGTGGCAATTTTAATTTTGAATCGTGTCTATCACAGCTATGGTAGTCCTGGGGCTTGAACACTTGGCCTTGTGAATGGCAAACAGTCTATTACTGAGCTATATATTTCGTTTGGTTTCTTGAGACAGGGTCTCAATATGTAACCCAGTCTAAGTTGTTACCTTAAAAAACACAGGCAACAATTTCTGGTTAGTCTGGAAATAACCAATTAGGCTGGCTGACCTAGGCATCCTCCTGTCTCCACTTCCTCGACCTGCAATTGCATATGCATGTTTATGTGGGATCGAGAAGTCCTTGTATTTACTTGCCAGGTAGGTGCTTTACTGATCGAGCTATCCCTGCCTCTGACTCTGTCCTACCAACTACTTTCTTAAAGATTTTGGGCATGGTAGTTGGTGCATACCTTTAATCCAGTACTGAGGAGGCTAAGGCAGGCAGATCTCTGAGTTTGAGGCCAGCTTGGTCTACAGTGTGAGTTTAAGGCCTTGAAAAACCAAAAAAGAAAAAAAAATTGGTTCAGGCAGGAATCTAAATTTTAGGCTAGAACAAGGAAGTAGTCTTCAGACATGAAGACTTTGGGCTAGGACAGGGAAGTAGGCTCAGATATTTTGGTCATTCTGATAAGCCCTTAAAAACAGTAATCACGGGAGTGTTCATGGAACTTTGTTTATTGCCTTGCTTGTTCTTTGACTATTTATGTTTATTGTCTTGCTTGTTCCTTGACTATTTGCATCTACTGTATTGTTATTTCATCAACCTAGAACTGACCTTAATACTTGCATGTAATTAAAATGGTATAAAAGCAAAAAGGAGGAGGGGGAATGGGATAAGGGTTTTCGGGGGGGGGGGATGGGATGGCATCTGAAATGTAAATAAAATATCCAATAAAGAAGAAAAATAATTGGTGTGTAAGTTCACAAGCAATAGTGTCGTTTGCTTCTTGGTTTTCTCACTGTCTTTATCTTGTTTTGTTACTGGTCTCAAAATGGGCCAGCAGTACTTTTTTTTTTTTTAAAGAGCATTTTGTGGGACGAGTACTTCTTTCTTAAATGATTGCTAAATTGACTGGCAACACTCTCTGGCACTAGTCTTCCTTGTGAGGTGGTTTTCAATTCAGGGCAATTAAGACAATAATTATTTAACACCGAGTATTGAGTCCAGCATCTTGTGCACAAGAGGCAAACACTCTACTGAGCTATGCCAGCCCCAACTCTTCAGTTTTGAACAGCAAGCTTTGGCTGAGATGATTCCCACTGCTAGAAATCTGCCTGCTACAAACTGAGCGGTACTCATAGCGGGTGTGAGGCAGTACTAGCTACTTAGTAACCACTAGACCTTCCTCCTGCAGGAAAGATCGCTGTTGACTTTCCTATCAGTTGCTGTGATTTCTTTTATTCCTAAGAGTGCAGAACCCATGACGGGAAAGAATAAACTTGAATTTCCAATCCCCTTAGGTAGCACATTGTTACCCGGTTTCTTTTTGGTTCCTTCTTTACAAATACATTCCCTTATCAGAGGCAAGCTCTTTAACCTGAGTGGGGCCCCAGCATGCTCACTGTGCTTACACAGCAGGCAATCTGATGTGTGTGTGGGTACAGAAGGTAGCAAACACAAGCCTCTTAGCACCAGACACAAAGCCATGCCCAGCTTACTAAATTGCTATTAAAGTCCATAAGCCCCAGAGTCTCTCTTACAGTCTCTGAAGGTACATTTTATGTGAGGGAAACAGAAGTGTGGTGTATCTGAGCATCACTAAACCTGTGGCTGAGAGATGTGTGCTTATTTAGGTACAGAATGAATTAATGTTAAAATACTACAAACACCACACAAGATCAACTGTGCCCAAAGAGATGAGAGGTTCCACAGGTCCGCCTGCAGCAGTAGGATGAGAAGCCAGCTTCTTGAAGGGGAGCAGCAGGGACAGAGGGGAACAAGAATGTACCAGGGAATGAAGATGCTCAAGACGTATTATCTACAGGTCTGCAAACGTCATAATGAAACCCATTATGTATGATTAATATATGCTAATAATGAAAAGAATCTGCCTATGTATGGGGAGTGAGTGCCAACGGCCAGTGTCAGAAAGAGGTCATCGGCCAAGGCTTCTCTGCTCTCCGTTTTCCCTCTGTCTGCCACACTCCTCCAAGTCCTTCCTCACTGTTTCCCTTAGGCAAGGTTGTCCTGCCATTCAGGAGACCCAGATCACATCTGTCCTTGCAAAATAAGCCTGACTTCAAACTTGAGCTCCTCTGCACCTCTCGCAGCCCAGTTCACAGCTTGATGAAATAAGACTTTGGACTTGATAGTCAAGTCTAAAAGGATGCAGGGCTTGACAGCGGAGCCTGGTTGCTAGGCAGGCAGGTACGAGGTGTTAGAACCACTACTTAGGGATTTTAAGATGTCCTCAGAGTAGAGCTGATAAGATGGCTCAGTGTGAAAAAGCACTTGCTGTCAAGCGCATGACCTGAGTTTGGGTCTCTGGACCCTAATGGAGGAAGGAGAGAGCGACACCATTAAGTGTCCTTCTGATCTCACACGTACACTGTGGCACAACTGTGGTTCCCCCCCCCAAAATATGTAAATGTGATAAAAAAGACTTTCCCCAAATAGATGGCATCTCCTTGAGGGACTGAACCCCCTCTGATATTATATTATATTTTGCTCAAGCACTTCCCTCACACCCAAGGGTTCAAATAAATTCTCTGAGACATTTTGTTGGTGTAGATTTTAAATTACAAGCTTGATTTGACACCCTCAAATACAGTTCTTCAGAAGTCTAGTTATAAATAGTTGTCCATACTTTCAAATGAGAGGAGTGACATTTCAGTACAGTTGTCCAATGCTTGGGATAGCATCCTCTCACCTGCAGGGGGGATACTCCAATTCATGCAATAAATGACGATTACAGTTTTCAAAGGTACCCTAGTTTTTCTAGGTGAGAGTTCACACCCACTTTGGGTCAGGAGGTCAGTCTGCTCCTGATCACTCTGGTTCCTCAAGTGGTGAGCACCGGCTCCTCAGGTACACAGCTGGGTCACTGGTTAGCATGGTATTGTTTCAGCCCTTTCCTTTACTGGGTTCTCCCGGGAACCCCAGGGTTTTAGCAATGTGGCCAAGGTGGCTGAGAAGCAAATCCAACATCAGAGATCACACAGGACTCTGAGTGACTGAAAGGAGGTAAACAGGAGGGAGATTTGAACTTTTCTTGACATAAAATTGGCAGAAACAAAGATCACCAAATCCCTGCAACTAGAAATCATGAGGGTAAAATATGTTTGTGTATCAAGAGGAGCCTCACAGGTGACCTTGCTAGTGGCTTCTGTAGAACCACAGTACCAGGACAATGGGCCCTATTTTACATATGATATGAATACAAAGTCTTAAAATTTATAATAGGACATTAAAATAATCTTCTAATAAAATCAGCCTTAGGTATAAGGAATCTAAATTTCAGTATTCTGTATACTTCTAAATAAATAACTCTGATCTATAACCATAGAAAATATTACAGTTTATGGTGACATAATAAGAGATAAGCCATACAGTATTATAAGTGAAAATAAAAAGTCAATTTCAAAATAAGCCTAAAAACACATGGAGCTGAAACGGTATAAAACAAACCACTAAGCATCTAACTACATAGGCAGTGGTGGGAGGAGGAACGCATGCTCTGCAGCACACGCTCAACTCAAACAAAGCCCCTGAAATTCACGCTCCGAATAAATAAGCAGAAATGCAAAGGAAAGTACTGTGCCAGCCAGTAACATCTACCAAGCAATTTCTCTCTTTTCCTTCCAAATGATCCTCACAGGAAAAAAGACCCTAATGATCACTTGCTAAAAAACTATAATTCATGATCTTTAAAAAAAAGATGTTGCCTAGAATATAAAAAGTCAAAGCAAGGCTTCCAAAACGCTAGATCACTGTACCGCGAATAAGGAATGGCCACCTAATGACAGAATTAAACAAAACTAGGCATTTGTCTTTTTAAGGTATGACTGGATTTCTGCTTTGTGAACCCCATGAAGTGGTCCACAATGGGAACACACATTCCACACACCTAAGTGTATGGCCTATAATTAATCATATATATGGTAGTCTGTTTCATTCATCAGAGTGTGGGTTTACCTTCCATAAACACCTGCACAGTAGGAACTATAGCTTCTTTGGGTTCCTATCCTGAGGTTCTTAGAACATAACACATGTTCAGGAAGTTTCTCTTGAGCTGTGGAGGCCAGCACTCAACACTTGAGGCAGTTCAGAAGCCAGGGTGAAATCTCACCTGGGACCTGGGAGTTCTGTCACTGTGCCTTCAGGCCTGTCAAGTTCATTGCCACAGGCCTGTCAGTTCCTCAGTTTAGGGCCAACATTTCTACAGTTTATCTAGTTCACAGGTAAGCCTTCTCCAAAGATTCGTGCCTGCACATTGTCATCAAGTTAAAAGAATAAAGGTAATCTTTGTATTCTATGCTGGCTATCTATCCACTTGTGATTACTGCTTCAGACCCCCACACACCCACACAACCATTTCACAGAGATCAGATCTAGAGTAATGCCCAAGGCTTAAATTACACAGCTCCCAAGACTAACTAAAAAGTGGCGCTGAAGCCATAAGGTAACTCTCTCTAATGACAAAGAAACTTATGGCATGATGGCGGGAGGCATGCCTGTGGAGCAAGACTGTAAACCAGGGGTGTCCTTAGTCTCAGCGTGAGCCCTGCACGACAGGGGAAGCAGCAAGGAGAGGGGCATGCTCGCCACAGCTCCCTGTCCTCAGTGCCTACATCAGCGCCACCTTCTGCTGGGGATTGTTCTAGCAGTGTTCTCTGGGCTGCTGTTCAAGGTTGCTGTTTCTAAATGTCCATCCTTGGGTTCTTGATGCCAGGGAGGGGGAATGTTTCATGACTTCTGAAAATAAAAGCTGTCTGGGAAGTTTGCATCTTCTTTGTCTTGTCAGCACATCTGTCACGCCTGTCACACTTGCTGCTAGGAGAGGTAGACCCAGTGTTTCAGCCCTGCCATCCCCTGCAGCAGCTTTGTGTAATAGAAGTCCATGTTGTCAGCAAAGTCCGTGCAAACAGGTGACTCCATGTTACCCAGGGTGCAGTAGAGCGCAGTCCCTCCCACACTGAGGAAGACGGTGGCTATGCACAGCAAGACGAGCAAGACACAGGAACCACCGCCAACCTCATCTGCAAACAGGAGAACAGGGAGGAACCATCAGCAGGCTTACTTCAATCTCTTCACTGGTTCTTTTATTCACAGCTCTCCGATGCCGGCCAATCTAGGCTAGCAACCTAGCTTATGTAACTCCTCCCACCTCCTCCTCACCACGAATCCGTCCCATCTATGCGTTCTGATCTGAGACTATGTGGACTAAATATTCGGAAGAACTATCTGCACCACACATTACTCTTTTCTTACCACATTCGCTTAAACAATACCACACAGCAATTATGTACAGATTCTTTAAACTCATGAGATATATGTAATCCAGAGATGACTTCAACTACTGAAGTTGACCTAAGACATTTTTTTAAAGAAGAATAAGTAAGGCCCGGTGAGATGGCGGAGTTGGTAAAGGCGACTGACATGTGAGCCTGATCACCTGAGCTAATCCCTGAAGTGATTGGTGAGTGAGGTGGCAGAAGAACGGCAACTCCCTGAAGTGGCACAAGTGTGAGAAGCACAACAACGACCACAACCAATCAGCATCCAAGAAAGTACACAGGCCGTGTGAGCAGAGCCCATGAGAAGGCATGGTGTCTTATATAAGTGTCCTGGGCATCTGCAGGCTTTATTATTCAGGAGTCTTGGCTCCTGTGGTACATGGAGGGATGATGTCTGAATACCACTCAGGTATTTGAAAATATCAGTTTTGTTTAAACAACATGAACTATGGACTGTGGAGCTGCTCTGAGCACCTGACACATGACTGATGCAGAGATGAACTGGGAATGTGAAACATATCTCAGCTTTGGAGGGCGAAGTGTAGAGAAGAGGATGGGAAGTTTCTCACCAGCAACTCTCCTGTCCTGACCATATTATAATATTTTTGATAAACTCAGTAAAATGAAATATACTATTAAGGCAAGTTTCATATACTGCTACTTTTGTTATATGGCTGTCATAAATTTTAGGATCATCCATGAGGGGCTGGAGAGACAGCTCAGCAGTTAAGAGCACTGATTGCTATTCCAAAGGACCCAGCTTCAAGTGCCAAGTACCATACAATGGCTCTCAACCCTCTGTAACTACAGTTCCAGCCAATCTGATGCCCTCTTCTGGCCTCCTCAGGCACTGCAGGTACGTGGTACACAAAATATCCATGCACATAAAAAATAAAAATTAAAAAAAAAACACCCCAATTACTTGTGAGTTTCCACATTACATTTCTAGACACAGTACTGATCAGAGGAAGGGTGGGCCTCTCTAGGAAGCTGCAGGCAGGAGTGAGGTTTCCTATGCACTTGTAAGCATAACAGAGATTTCCTGACTGTTGACATCAGTCATACACATTATCTACGTGTTTCTCCTTGCCCTTACTGGCAGAGTGGTGGTTGTTTTCTGTGTTTTAAGAAGGATAAGGCTGAGTAGCCTGGTGAGGGAGGAGGTGGCCCGAGAGTTTCAGATCCAGGTGCACACATGTGCGGTTGGGATGGAGGAGTCCCCCAGGGTAGAGGGAGCTGTGCTGATTACACACGAGATGCCAGGGTAAAATAAAAACATTTCTGAGGCGGTGACAGCATCACCTGAGTGGTGGCCAGGGTCAGAGATGCTCAAGGAAAACTGTGCTGAGCAGCTCTTGGGAGACACTTGACTTCAGTGCAGAGGGAGAGCTTCCCAGGAAAGGAGGGGCAGGGATTTATGACTGAAAACAAAAGTAACAAGCAATGGGGGGGGGGAAGGGAGAGGGAAAGAGAGAGGGAGAGAGGGAGAGAGGGAGAAAGAGAGAGAGATAGGGAGAGAGGGAGAGGGAGAGAGAGATAGAGAGGGAGAGGGTGAGAGAGGGAGAGTGAGAGTGAGAGTGAGAGTGAGAGTGAGAGGGAGAGTGAGAGGGAGAGGGAGAGGGAGAGGGAGAGGGAGGGGAAGGGGAAGGGGAAGGGGAAGGGGAAGGGGAGGGGAGAGTTTTTAACCTTGACCATTTCTGGGCTGGTGACTCATTTATTTCAGCAAAAAATAAAAGTTTAAGATTTGACAGAGAAACTTTGTTTCTCTGCTAGAAGATACAGCAACTGAGTCCACACAGCCCTTTACAAGTCCTGCTGGCAAACTTTGTGTCACCTGACTGTCCAGCACTCCCAGACCCAGGGCTGCCAGGGCACACCTTGATCCAGGTTATCGTCTATTTCCTGGAATCGCACTCTGCGCTTAGCCGGCTTCTGCTGCATTTGGGCAGGAGGGTCGCCTACTGTGTCATTCCTCTTCTTCAGTATGGACACCAGCCCTTCTGCAGGAACAACCTGTCAGAGAACAGAAGAACTGGTTGTTATGTGAGGTTGCGTGTGGGACTTATCAGCGATATGTTACACATGCAACTACCGAACATCATGGCAGTGACTTACTCTCCATCCTCATTTCACTCATCAATAGGTTGGCTTGCTCACCCCCTCCCTCCC